TAGGTATGTTCTTTTCTTCTGCAAGCAGCGTACACTAATGGCTCCTGCACACAGGACGTGGTAATGCTTGCCGCGCGGCGGAAGTCCGCGCGACAGCCAATCAATATGTTGTTTTTCCGTAGGAGCTAGAAGGTTATTACGGAAAGCAGCATATTGATTGGTTGTCGCGCGAACTTCCGCCGCGCGGCAAACATTACCGCGTTCTGTGTGCAGAAGCCATATCACGTGACCCCTCTCCAGAGTTTGGTTTTTCGAGCATTTCTAGGGTTTTTTACAACGCTCGTTAAATTAATGACACTCGTGATTGGTTCCGCTCTCGTTCCGCGCGGGAGCGTCCCGATTGACCACGGTACGATTGGATACAACCAACCGATGAAAAAAATTATCTAGTGAATTACTAGGTCGAACCAATCATTACAATCTGTGTCCAATCGTATCGTGGTCAATCGGGTTCCATCCGTTCCGCACTCCGCGTTCCGCGTTCCGCTGCATGGGTTTGCACTCTTAGGTCGATATTACATGTGTCGTATGGCAAGCTTGTCGGATAGAGAATTTCTGGGGTACCTAAGGGAAAAATCAGGGATCTTAGGAGAATTCTATCCGACAGCCAATCGACATGTACGATAATACTTGTCGTACGACGCATGTAATATTAGCCTTATGCAGGATTCACACGACGTCCGATATCCAATAAGAGAACAGCTTTCTAATAGAAAATTCAATTCTCCATTGAAATGCTGTTCTTCTATTGGATATCAGATGTCGTACATCGGACATCGAAGGCGGTGTGAATCCTCCGTTATGCATACCCAATCCTGGTTGCAAAGCAGCTTTCTCTGCTTAACGTAGCCATTGTAGATGGGCCTTTAAACCAGTGCAGTGGTGCAACTGAAAAGAACAAGCCTGAAACCATAGAGAGAGAGAGAACTGAAAAGAACAGACCTGTTTTTGACATGTTTACATCGTGAATCAGGTTACGCGTTCACGGACGTCTCTCCGTATATTACGTTTGATTAGACGTTAAAATGTCGAAAATGAGTTCGAAGGACAAAGACAATAAAACGTTTAATGATAAACTAAAGCAGTTCTTCCGTATAAATAAAGGTGAGTGAATTTGATTTCACATGTAGAGATCTCGTGTATACTCTGAATGTTCATGTACCAAGTGCGATTTTCTCTTCTGTTTGAATCGGCGTTGTAGGAAATTACAAGAATCGTGAAGATGTCACCTTGACTCACGATATCGAGAGAGATATCAGTCCCGATAGTCCCGTGCATCACCGTACGAAAGCGATCAAAGAACTTTGCGATGCAGTTCTCAATCAACAGTGGGAAGATGTATGCGAGAAAATGCATTATTTTCGGATCGTATATAATACTCTTGTCTAATACTTGTCTTCTATTGACACAGAGAGCGGCAGAACGCCTGTGGAATCTAGTGCAGGATTTATTGGGAAAGGATGTTCCACGTGAACATAGACATTTGACATTAAACTTTTTAAGGTGCCTCGTACAAGGACAATACTCCAAGCTTTCGTCACTGATGCGTGTCAAGTTTTTCATGGTGGTGAAGGAATATGATGTACCGGAAGACATTGGTCCCAGGTATCGTATCGACAAGATACAACCTTTCTTGTTGAACCATTTCTTCCTTGAGCACTGTTTGAACATTTCAGATTGGAATTGTTGCAAACATTAACGGAACATGGTAAAGATATTTTGCATTTGGAGGAACGAATGGGTCCGTTTCTGCTCGAATGGATGCCAACGGTGACGGCAGGTGATGGAAAAAGAGGAGCAGAATTCTTGTCACTTCTAGTAAATGTAATCAAATTCAACTCAGCTTACATCGACGAAGACATTGTGTCTGGTCTGGTTCAGTGAGTAGTCCCTTTCTCTCTCGCTTTGAGAGCTTTGTATGCTTTATACAGTGTATAATTGTCATTTTATCAATGATATCTTTTCAGATATATCTCTCACTTGTGTTACTATAGTAATAGTACCGATGTTGTTTCCGGATGCTTGGAAGCCCTTGATGCGATTATGTGTTACAGTAATTTGCAATCTGACTCACTGCAAACATTTGTCATAGCTTTGTGCAGAAGCGTAAATGTTGAGACCTATTGTCAAACCAGTTGGAAGGTATAATTCTAAAAATACCTCAAATTCACGTTTCTCTGTCATGTTCATTTTTCAATTTCAAATAAGAGTACTTGACATCTGTTACTCATGGAAATTGTGAGTAAAATATGATTTGATGGTCATTTCCTGGTAACTTTACTAGACGAAAGAAAAATGTTTTTTTGTGATTTCCGTTTTTCTGTGTATCGTACACACACACACACACACACACACACATTTACCACAATCTACAAACAGAGATTATTGCATGATGAAAAAACAAAAAGGAAGTCTCGTAATAATTGATATTGTAATATTTTTATAGATTATGCGAAATTTATTAGGAACGCATATGGGTCATTGTGCTCTGTGTACAATGTGTCGGCTACTACAAGATATCAATTTTCAACGTGACGTCCGTCTACTTCGAGGTGCAGTATTTTATATAAACATGGGCCTGTGGGGCACGCATAGAATACCAAAGTTAGAATGTACACCGGCGTCTGTTTTACCCTCGTTCTACCAAGTATGTATCAAAAATGCCATTTCGAAGATATCCGATGGAGTAAAATGTTAACTTGGCAGGCTCTACAGTGCAATCATCCAATCGTCATGTATGAAGTTACTCTATCGATACAGAGATTAGTGAACAAATATGGTAGTGAATTGTGGGATCCTACATGGAGCATTATTCTTGACATCGTAGAAGAAGTGATCGCTCACACTGGTAAAATGTTACACTCTTGGAAAGAGAGAAAGATAATTAGTGCTAGCAACGATAATTAGTGTCGTTCGTCTTGTTGCAGAAACCAGTAATCAACCAGCAACTAAGCAGGTTTCTACGAGTTTACACGAAACGATCACCAATATCGAAAATTTGCTTGATGCAAACAGTTATAATGGTTGCATTCAGCGTTTCTACGATCTCGTCGAACGTTGTAGCGATGCTCGACCTGTACGTGCGTGAACATAAACTTCCCGGCAAGAAATATCTTTCTTATCAGTAATTTTTGTTATTATTTCTAGGAGGGATCTGTGTTGAAATTAATCGAATACAGAACTTGTACGATAGGCCCTACGTATTACCAATGGCAGGCCAAGCTGGGATCTTTGATGGAACGTTACTACAAGATCGAAACGCGTACTACCATTAGAATGAAAGTTCTCGATGTTCTGATAAACGTCATTCAAGTTAACCGGTATTGATCAATTTGCACCGCAAATTCTGTGCGGAAACTCTTCTTATCTCTCCACTTTTACACTGAATACATTCGCGGTCTCAGGTCCAGATACGAAGATGAACTCATCGAGCGAATAGTCGTACCGTACACGCAACACGTGGATGCGGATCCTGATATTGCGATACGCAATGCCACGGCGAATTTGTTAGTAGACCTTTGCCTGGAATGTGACACTAAGCTCTGTTTGGAGCTTTTGGATATACTGGAGAAGGTACTGGTATTCCCTTGCAAATAATGATTCCGTCAAATGCATCCTCAATATTAATCGCTTCTTTCCAGATAATCAATAAGCCTTTCGCATCGGATACTCCAGTCTCTACGGATACTGATATTAAAGACGTAAAAACTGCGGTTGTCGGAATCATAAGGATATTCACTTCAAAAATTTATCGTTTGCCGTCGAGTCATGCGATATGTGCTTACAAGATTTTAGTGAATCATCTTGAGCATCACTACAAAGAGCCCTCTGTTTTTCATGATGTATCGACGACACGTTATTTGGTACAATTATATACTTGATCGAGGGAATTTCCAAACTGTATTGAATGCAATTAACGTAACTTTTACAGATCTTTGAGAGCTTCTTAAAAGTCAGAGCAAACTCTTTGTACCATCTTGGTATGCTGGATGCGTCGAATGGCACCGTGATGCGTTTCAGTCCGTATCTTGTTTTGGAACATTTTACGACTGAGCGTATGAATAGTGCGAGCGGGGGTAACAGTCCTCCACCAGCCAGTCCGGCGCCGTTGCAACATTTATCTTGTCACGTTACCCCCATGTCGTTGACTCACGCGTGCAAAGCTGTGATTTTGTGCATCAAACAAGAGAAAGGTAAAGATTTCGTCCAAAATCCAAAAATTCAGTTCTGGAGAAAGAATATGGAACGTAAGGAAACACACGCGAGTGCGATATAGAAATCCATACGTTGCAAGAATGTTAAATTTCAGATTGGAAAGTTTTACATCTCATATTGAAGGAGTTGCCTCAAGTGATGCAAAATAGAGCGCTTATGTTATCTCGTCATAGCAATGACATCGACGTCTTCGCCGCAGCTTTGTGTTCCATGGTCGGTAGACTCTTTTATTTTTATAGACTCTTTTTTTTTTGTTTTCGCGAATGTTGCGTATCTCATTGTTACTTATCGCTAAATTATAAATTTTCAGGTGAGCGACAATCGTTTGCGTCTACCCGAGTCGCTTTACAATGTGCCGCCAAAGTTTACGCTTTCCGAATTTCGGGTATACGTATTTCCGGTACTAGCGTCTCTAGCGTCATATCATGCACACTTGGAACCTAATTTGCAGCAACGTTTAATCAAATGTTTAGAGGTAAGAGGACATGCGCGTTCGTCTGGAAAGTTCACTCCGGTGATCCGTGAATGAACTCGCGAGTGAGTTGAGTGTAATAATGAGAATAATTACTAATTCTCAGGTCGGCCTAACGGCAAAGTGCGCGAGTCAGTGCGTAACCAGTCTCACAATTTGCACATTGGAAATGCGTGATGCGATGAATAAACTTTTAACTGAAGTGCTCTTAAATTTATCAAAGATTTCCGCAACTGTTTACATTGCCATACCTATTTTGGAGTTTTTATCGAGTGAGTATCGTATGATAGATGTTGAGATCTGAAATGTCGCCAACGAATGACGCGCAAACGTAAAGATCTCTTTGTTCTAGCTCTAACTAGGCTTCCAAAAGTCTTCGCCAGCTTCATAGGAGATCAATACATGTCTGTATTTGCGATACTGCTACCATATACTAATCCTTTCAAGTATAACCATTATACAGTGTCCTTGGCTCATCATGTAATAGCAGTGTGGTTTTTGAAATGCAGACTTCCATTCCGGAGAGATTTTGTTAAATTTATCACTACGGTGTGTATATGTATCTTCTAGCGCGATACACCAATTCTCACAAAATTACTACACCCACTTTCTTTTTCTTTACATTTCGTTAAATTTTCTCTTTTGCGCAAAACAGGGATTGAAAGCGAATGTGATAGTTCCTTTTGAAGAAGGACATCTTATGAAATCTGACTTTAGCGTCATCAACGAGGATTCATCAAATAGGAAACGTAGCTCCAGCTTAACCGAACAAGTGGGTAATCTATCGTAATGTTTATAAAAACATATTCTTATTATATATCTAGTATATTTCTTGCTACGTGTACTCTGTGCGTTAGTGAATAATATTAATTATAAACGTGTATATATGTATGAGTGTGTACAGGGTAGCAGAGGACGAAGAGAAAGACCGATAATGGCCAATCGAATGATAGGAGAAAGTAGAGCTTTAGATTTAAAACCTCCGATTGATGAAGCTTTAATGAACTTTCATATTGAACTTACCGAAACTTGCATCGATTTGATGGCTCGTTACACATTTTCAAACTTTTCTGCGCGACCCAAAAGGTGTGTAACGTCTTTGTATTTATGATATTTCGAATTGAAATAATATGAGAAGAACGCAATTGATTTACTTTTATGTTATGACAGATTACCAGCTGCCGATTTTCTTCTTAAGGAAGGTCAGTCCATGACCTGGATACTTGGCAATAGACTTATTACTGTAACGACTAGTGGCTGTAGTAACAAAGCTATGCGCGGTGGACTTTGCGACAATTGTTGGGTAGCGTGTAAGCCTGGATTTTTATTACTGGATCAGACGAAAACTTCTCAGTTGCAACGTACTTCGAGTCTTGAGGTATTTTTGCACATCTATGATGCGGGTTCCAGCTTTCAATGTGATATATATATATATATATATATATATATATATATATATCGCTATTTGCGTTTCTTCCAAAATTCTGTATGTGTGTCTGTGACTTTGTTGTTGTAATAGTATATATCGAGAAAGGTATTACACTACATTCGTGTGTAACTGAGAAATGACATTGACAGGCATCGAAGGAAGACAAGTTATCGAGACAGTCCTCTGGTGGACATGGGAGTTCAAACGCAAATACCGCTGCAAACTCTCCTACGGAAGAATCTAAGAAATCCACGGAAGATTCAGATAGCGCAAAGAAAGAGTTTCTTATTGAAAAGAGTGATAAGGATCAAGTCGAACGATCCAAATTGGGGCAGATATTAAATAGCGATAAACAAGATGGACATGTACTTTGCGCGTGTTGGTGTCAAGGATGGGCTGAGATATATGTGCGTAGACCTACAGGCGATATGTCGTGGATTATGAGAATTCAGAATTCTACACAATTTGAAACTCCAATGGACTTTCCTGTGCATGATATTATGGCCTTGTATATGCCAAACCAAGACGCAGTACCGAATAAGCAACAGGAGACTACCACAGAACTTTCCGGCGATGAAGCAGAGGTTATTGATATTTAGAATTGATTCACCGCTCGCGTGAATGACTTGATAGAAAAAAAGGGAAAGTGAAAAGAAAGAAACACTTATAATAGACGAAAACGTTCTCAACACGGATATTATCAAATATTAAGGTGTACGAGAATTCAAAAGAAAACGAATAAATAATTGCTGAATAATTAATATAAATCTTCCTATAACCTTAATACTTGATAAAATCCAAGCAAGAGTGTACCGACTACTCTGGACGTTTTCCTCTATTACTTTTTGTTGCTTATAAATATTATTCTTAAACTTCTTGCAGGACGTGCCAAATAAGAGTAACAATCACTCACTGATCGAACATGGTGTAAGATCAGCGATATCATCATCAGGTCCTATCGCGATACCTGGTTCGCCGGTACGTCCTAGCCCATCTCGACAAAGCTCGAGAGATAGTCTAGAAAGCTTGGAGGAAGGTGAAGAAGGTGCGTGTAAACGATACCTTTCTCCTTCATGAATTGCTGTTTTCTTTTATCAGTACTGATATCTGTATGAATGAAAATTTCTTGCAGACACGCGACGCTCCAGAAATCCGGTCCGCCGGTCAAATTCCAGTCCAGAAATGAGCGCTAATTGGAAAAATCCATTTTTAAACAAAGAAAAGATAAATGTGCAGCAACAAATTGATAAAGATCTTGCATCTTCAGATTTGGATGTTAAACTAGACGCAGAATTGAAGAAGCATTCGAAAAACATTTATGCAAAGGATATGAGGTATATTTCTTCTACAGATATTTTCGTACATCTTTCTCACCTATAAAATGCCGTTCAACTGTTACATTCGTGCTTAGCGCATGTTATTTAATTTTTTAAGAGTTAGCTGCGAAGCTATACCGGAAGAAATATTTGGCATGGGAACAACTCCACCTTCCTCGGAACATACCGGAGACCATCCAACTGCGCTGCGTTCGCAACGTTCTTATCCAGGAGCGACGCAAATAACTCAGACTGTCCCATCGACTACCAGCAATACCGTACCACCGTCTCCTACAACTGTGCAGGTAGATCCGCGCATGTATGACACGCGCATGTATGAGATTAAGAAAATGCAAGTCGCAAGTCGTAATATTTTCGAAAATTGTATTAGGCGCCGGGAAATTATTTGGGAATACAAATGCGCTCCACGCAAATACAGTCGTCTGCTATAATAAAAGCGCCGCAATCGCCTACTCAAATTTATTCTCGATTATCTAGTCTTGATTACGCTCAGAAACAAATACCGCTGACTGTCGACAGCAAACCACCCATCGGACGAAATCATTTTGCGGATAAGGTACACACGTCAATAAAATAAATCATTTTGTTTATTTTTGTATCGATTATAATTGGATTACGCGGCTTTTAGCAAAAAGACGAGAGACCCGATCCATCGACGTTACCTCCTTTACCGATATCTTTTCGCGATAGAGGCCACACGATATCCGTAATGAGTCCGGTGAAAAAATCACGAGGAGAGTGGGACAACATGCGACGAGGTAATTCTCCTCGAGTGAAAGATCCACCGCGCACAGGCATTAATCCGAGGTACGCGCAATATTGTGGTAATACACTACTATAAAGATCTGTGGAATTTTTCTTTCAACTTTTCTTCTTTTTAATAAGAATGTAATACCATACACCCCATCGTGTTACAGTTTTGTATTCCTTCAACTTTATCATGCAGCACATTTTGGCACTACCACGGAGAAGCCTTTGTTGGTTCCGCAAACAACAGCCATACAACGCGTAGTGACGAATCTGGATAGAATTCAGCCGTATGAAACTCATAAAATAGGAGTACTCTATGCTGGCCCTGGACAAGCTTCGAACGAAATTGAAATTTTGGCGAACCAGCATGGTTCTCTCCGTTACACCGAATTTTTGAAACGTTTGGGCACGCTAATCCGACTGAGAGATGTCGATGAGAATGTATTTTTAGGTGGATTAGATCGTAATGGTGAGAACGGAGATTTCGCTTATATTTGGCAAGATGATGTTACACAGGTTTGTCAAAATATGCAGCGTAAAAGTAATCATTTGATTCTCTCTCGTTTGAAAACTTGAAAATTTTACAGGTAGCTTTCCACGTCGCAACATTAATGCCCACAAAAGTGAGCGATCCACAATGTACATCTAAAAAACAACACATTGGTAATAATTATGTGACACTTGTGTACAATGAATCGGACGAACCGTACAATATACAGACAGTCAAGGTGGGTAAAATACAGATTTCTAAAGATTTCGCTGCGATTCATCCCTGTCTGTTTCAATTCAGGGTCAATTTAATTATGCTTGTGTCGTGATACAACCTTTGGATCATGGTACTAATCAAGTTACGGTACAAGCACGAGAAGAATTAGCCGAGCACATCGGTCATAGCGAGCCTAAAATCATTTCCGATCAGAATCTGGCTATTCTTTCGCGGCAACTTGCTCTGCACGCTAACGTGAGTATCGCTTTTGCAGGATAGAGAGAATATGATAAATAAATGTAATTTACAGCTCGCTTCGATGGTTTGTTCATCTTTGAAGCAAAATAGCCATAATCCGTACGCATCCAATTGGTTGGAGCGCTTGCGATATATCAAGCGACTGAGAAGCAGAGTATTGCAAGAAACTGTCAACAATAATCAAGATACTACCACGGACGAGCTCTCACCGAGAACCAACAAACGGGTTTATATGGACGACTTTACGGAATATACAACATAACTTTATCATCTATGGAATGACAATTACGAAAGAAAACAATGAAAACAATCGAATTGGACACACTGTCCGATCGATATATTCGATATATTATGCAAATCAGCAATACAGCTTCTTCAAAATGAGATACAGGATTGAAAGTGACTCTGCGTAACAATATTTAGGGAAATATTGTATACCTTGTTATGTAACATACCTCTCTCGTGCACGCGCACACACAAAAGAAATCTATTCAATTACACAATTATACGTGTAACAATTGTTTTTTTTTTTTTTTTTTTTTTTTTTTTTTTTTTTTTTTTTTTTTTTTTTTTTTTTTTTTTTTTTTTTTTTTTTTTTTTTTTTTTTTTTTTTTTTTTTTTTTTTTTTTTTTTTTTTTTTTTTTTTTTTTTTTTTTTTTTTTTTTTTTTTTTTTTTTTTTTTTTTTTTTTTTTTTTTTTTTTTTTTTTTTTTTTTTTTTTTTTTTTTTTTTTTTTTTTTTTTTTTTTTTTTTTTTTTTTTTTTTTTTTTTTTTTTTTTTTTTTTTTTTTTTTTTTTTTTTTTTTTTTTTTTTTTTTTTTTTTTTTTTTTTTTTTTTTTTTTTTTTTTTTTTTTTTTTTTTTTTTTTTTTTTTTTTTTTTTTTTTTTTTTTTTTTTTTTTTTTTTTTTTTTTTTTTTTTTTTTTTTTTTTTTTTTTTTTTTTTTTTTTTTTTTTTTTTTTTTTTTTTTTTTTTTTTTTTTTTTTTTTTTTTTTTTTTTTTTTTTTTTTTTTTTTTTTTTTTTTTTTTTTTTTTTTTTTTTTTTTTTTTTTTTTTTTTTTTTTTTTTTTTTTTACTCAAAGTACTTTCTTTTGGCTTCAACACAACGTTTGGCATGATTCAACAACGTGTGAAAAGACTTCGAATTTTTCATTTGATAATCATTTACAAGATTCTCATGGCGGCTGTTTTTAAACTTTTTATGCCATTGTAACGCATTCGTTTCATTAGAATTTTCATGGTCGGAAAAAGAAAATACGAGTGACCAAGTCGGACAAATACAGTAGATAACCGATTACCTTTATTTGTTTCTCGGCCAAAAAAAGTACGTGTACATATATAGACGCGTTTAATCAATACAATACGTTTTCTTGATGAATATTATACCAGCTTAATATACCGTTGTTTATATCGTCGATATTAATAGCGAATTCGGTAGCTTGCACTAGTGCGCATTAAGGCTTGTTTACAGTACATTCTTATATTTAAGATCGTGTCTTAAATACATATTTAAAAACATTTTAACTAATAAAATGATTCGTACGGATGTTATACATATCATATTATGGTTAAAAATATTTGAGAATTTATTTGAGAATTATTTAAGACAATCTTTAAATATAATAACATACTATGAACAAGTGCGAATTCGCTATAAGATTATCTAATGAAAAGTTACTGTTTAATACAAGCCTATGACTAATAGCGAATTCGGTTGCTTGCACTAGTGTGCACTGAGTGCGCACTAAGGCTTGTTCATAGTATGTTATTATATTTAAAGATTGTCTTAAATAATTCTCAAATAAATTCTCAAATATTTTTAACCATAATATGATATGTATAACATCCGTACGAATCATTTTATTAGTTAAAATGTTTTTAAATATGTATTTAAGACACGATCTTAAATATAAGAATGTAAACAAGCCTTAATGCGCACTAGTGCAAGCTACCGAATTCGCTATTAGTTTACATCGTGCACTTGATACGTATACTATATAGTAACTTTCTATTAAATAATCTTAATATTGACAATACATATCAACGATGACGCATTCAATTGATACAATAAGTCTTCTTGATCAGTATTATACTAGCTTAATATACATTAGTTATTTATATACATCGTCGATATTAAGATTATCTATTAGAAAATTACTATTTAATACGCGTATCGAGTGCACGATGTAAACCAAGCCTATGTCTATGGTCTCTTTCTAAGCTGCTTCGTTCAGATTCTCTACCCGAGTGCACTCTAATACCAGAAGTGCTATAGGGGCTGCGCTCCGAAATTCACTGCCAGTACTGAAATTCTATAACATACGTAACATAAACTATAGATTTTCAGTACTGGCAGTGCATTTCAGAACGCAGCCAATGTATGTAACATATACTATTACTAGTGTTTCTAGTAATAGAGTGCACCCGGGTAGGGAATCTGAACGCACCCTTACATGTTGGGTTCACTTTTCTGGACCCCGTATGCGGGGTCCATGTATACTACGTCCATGATTGGCTCTCACCCGTGGGAACTCAGCCTTAACAATCGAATGCGCGTCAAGAGAATACGGTCTCGAGAGTTTATCAACTTTGAGGAAATTTGCATTTCAAGGCCGGTTTTTTTCAATGATAGTTTAAACTTAGATTTTAACTTAAATTTTGTTTAAACAAAACAAATACATTGAATAGAGTTTAAACTTGAATCCAAGTTTAAACTGTTATTGAAAAAAACCGGCCCTTAGAGAAACTTCTAACTAGCTTTCTCTATTTGTTTATTAATAAACATCGTACTCGGATACGTTCGGTCTCTGAGTGCTGTCAAAGCCGGAAAAATATTTGTTGCTATTTGGTGAGACAAGATCATTTCGCGATCTGCGAGTACGTAAATTCAAAAGGAAAATCCGCATTTTCAAATATTATGTACAAATATTATTGTGTATGTGTGTGATTTTTTGATTGCGCGGTGAACAAAGTTCATAAAAGGAAAAAAGCATTTCGATATTTGATGAAGCTTGATTTATATTCGTGCACCACTGCGCAAAAAGTAATCAAATATCAATACATGACTGACATAAAACTTATGGGACGTTTTGTCAGCACTCGAGATCATTTTCGTGTAAACAAGTCGACGAAGATGGACTTTTGATTAGAGAAAATTATAGTCGAGATATACTATGTCGAGCACAGTAATGGTAGTAATATATACGGCACTGTGCAGGTCGTTTTAATTAAAGATGGAGGAGACGAGTAACGAGAAGTTCCTATCACGAAGACGTTCCGCCGCTTTGAAAGCTTTTAAAGTGAAAGACGAAAGAGTAGCTACCCTTAAGAAGGTGCGTGTAGATCCTTTTAGTGGCATAATTCTTTACACATCGTCGGAATATATTCTATAATGTGTGTATGTATGTGAGAAAGACATTTAATCCGGCAGCATCTTTCAAGTATAGACGTATCATAAACAACAAATTTCACTGCAACGAGACACAATTGTTACTTTCTGTTTTATAGGTAGCAGCAATTTTGCAAAAGTCCGAAATAGAAAGGACGGCGGAGGAAACCGGAATACTAGTTTCGTGCAGCGATGTAGTGAAGGAGGTTAATTTACGGTAATGGCTACTCGGCGATTGAATCATATTTGTAATAATTATTATTCATTATAAGTTATTCGTAATCAATTCTTCCTTTGCGAAATGTAATTTGTAGTGTGAACTCGAAAAGCTAAATTTCATTTTTTTAGAACATTTGTTGTAGGACATACTTATTGTGCAGTCATACTTAACGTAATAGTCTTGAAATCTTGGTTAGATTTTGACAATCTATCAATATTTGTGTATATACGTGCTCCAAGATATTCGTGTTTATAACGATACCTCTTCTTTAGTTTAGTGGGATAGAGTTGTATTATTTGTAATATCGCATACACACACACACAGACAAGAAAAACGAGACAGAATCAAAGCAAGATTAGAGGAAGTCGAAGATGCACCTGAGATTCTGGAGGAGAAGTGCATGCGTCTGGCAGCAGCGATCAGTAGAGCAACATCGCTGGCTGTGTATACCGGTGCTGGTATCAGTACAGCGGCATCTATCCCAGATTACAGAGGTACCAATGGGGTTTGGACTCGGATGCAGCAAGGAAAAGACATTGGGTATGGGCTGCTTTAATTAGATGTGCATACATGTGATAAATGAGTAAGTTTGTTTTCTCATGCTTTGTTATTATACTTTTGATAGGAATCACGATCTGAGCCAAGCGGAGCCAACATTAACACATATGGCACTTTATGCTTTGTACAAAGCTCGAGTACTGAAGCATGTAGTCTCCCAAAACTGTGACGGATTACATTTGCGCAGTGGTATCCCGCGTAATTTACTTTCCGAGGTTCACGGGAATATGTACGTGGAAGTTTGTAGAGCGTGCAAGCCATCCAGAGAATACTGGAGGCTTTTCGACGTTACCGAAAAGACTGCGCGATATCAACACCACACAGGAAGATTGTGTCACAGATGTAATTCAATGTTGCAAGATTCTATTGTACATTTTGGCGAAAGAGGTAGTCTCCCCTGGCCGATCAATTGGAACGGGGCAACCAGAGCTGCGAAGCAAGCAGACGTCATACTATGTTTGGGTTCTAGTCTGAAAGTTCTCAAGAAGTATCCGTGGCTGTGGCAAATGGACAGGCCTGTTCAGAAACGGGCTTCACTGTACATCGTCAACTTACAATGGACTCCAAAAGATGAGAACGCGGTGTTAAAGATAAACGGAAGATGTGACGAGGTAATGAGGAAAATAATGAGTCACCTTGGCTTGGATGTACCGCAGTATGATCGTACGAAAGATCCAATCTTCTTCCACGCGGTAAAATTGCAAAGTGGCGAACAGCTCACCACGACTCAGCCGTGTCTCGAAGAGCCACCGATTAAGAAGGAACCTCTAAGTCAAAGTAGTGACGAGAATGTAAAGTGTACAGTGCAAGGAACCGGTGAAAAAGAAGAAGAAGACTGCGTGTCGACCGTGACGGTGACTGATACAACGACTGCCTATCCAGCGCCATTTTTTACCGCGTTACCATTTCTATCTATGGGCTTGCCGTTTCCCCCTATGTACATGTATCCTCAGTTGACGCCGGTGTTTTATTATCCTTTCATACAAATACCGAACACTCCGACGGAAGCGCCAAAACCCAAACCAGCTTGTTCATTTTGCATGGAACACGAGGGCTCTCTCTCTTGCTTGTATTACCAACGTGACGGGGATTGCTGCGTACCAAACAAAACGGAGAACGAACAAAAGCAGCAGGAAGGTGCATTGGTTATTCATACAGACGCTCCCGTAGCGTCTCCTAAGAATCCGGGCTGGTTTGGTAAAGGGTGTCGCAAGGGCATGAAGAAGAAACGGTAGCATCCGCTCTATAATGTAATCTACGCGGTTATAACCGGACGCTTCCGCTCTTTGTCGGAGAATTACAAAATAACTTTACGTTGTACGATATATGCGTACATGAGTATTTCAAGTCTCCATATCGTAACTTGCGACTCGTGCACATTTTGTAGGTTTATTAAGTAATTTGATTCCAGTATTCGAAGCTTTAACAGATAGACTGAAAAATTTTCCAAGTAATCCCTGGTAATACTTGAAACTAAGACAATCCATTATTTTTGTCCACTTTACAGCATAGATTATCCTATTCGTCAGACTTCCAGCGCGGTTTAAGCTCACCTCGCGTAATCGCAAGCTCTCGCGTAAGCAAGGACCGAGGGGCCGAATTTGAACTCGAAATAGTCACAGGCGATTGGTCGCTGACAAATCAAATCGAATGTCTGCGTCGCTGAGGCTACAAATCTCTCAGGTTGCAGTCCACTTGTCATTACGAAATATCAATCGTCTTACATCCTTTGACCGCTCGTACATCAAGTCGTTGAAGATTCCAAGCGTTTGGAATCTTTGTTTACTCTCTTTTCCCGACATTTAAATATTTAATACGCGTTCGATGGCATATAATTATGGCAGTATATATAAATAAAAAAAAATATATATATATACATGTGTGTGTATACACACACACACACACACACACATACACAATCTGTAGACTGAATTGTTTTTCTCAAGATGTTAACAAAGTATGCGTACAGAGAACTCGATTCCGGGTCAGAAGTGAGACGCAAATTCTAGGGGCGCGTCAACGAGATCGGGTCTGACCTAATAATTTGCCAAACATTGCGTACCGTATTGCGTGTAACGAACGCTTCCTGTCTCATTTGTCGCCAGGTTACGACGGATAAAGTAATACGCGGAACGTCTCAGTAAGAAAAAGATGATTAAACCAGGAATAAATTTATTTTTAGAACGTATAAACACGAGCGTCTAATTTGTCGGTACTTACGTATTGTGTAAGATAATTTTGTTGACATATATATAGATGCCATTTATATTATAAGTTATATATTATTTATAACTAAAAACTGCACATAAATACATCTTTAGTATGTGTCAAAATTAAATCGCAATAAATTCACACATATCCAAAAATATATAATACAGTCATATTCCATATTGTTTTGCTTGGAAGAAAAAATAATAATAAGGGAAGTAAAGACAAACGTTCAAACGTTCCCCTCTCCTTAATGACAGTCATCGATAAAGTAATAAACTTTTGTTCCATATTTCAGAAAATTGTTAAAAACTTCTTTGATATTTTGTAGAAATATTATTCTGTCCTCACCGTCCCTCTTCTTTGTATATTTATTGTTTTATTTAATATATATATATATATATATATATATATATATATATATATATATATATATAT